GGTATCTGAGGACTGTCAAGTCATGCGGCACGTTGTTTACGCGGCATAATGAGTTATTAGAAAACGTTTAATAATTTGCATAAATCAACAGGCAGCGCGATAAACTTGTACAGAAAATATGAAAATACAGATAGAGTCGGGAAAAAATGAAAAAACGTAAATTAAATACGCACGGAATTTGACAAAAACAAGCTGAAATGTTTACACCTAATTCAAAGCGAAAATAAATACTCTTCAAGGTTTTTTAATACCACTTAAATACATATATTTTTTTGTATGTATTATGTGTACTATAAACCTTACATAATTAAATAAACAAAGTATTATTATCCTACTTGTTACCAACTTTTCCAAGCTGAATACAAAATTAAAAATACCCGTTTTCCATAATAGTGTAGTAGGTTACCCTACTAGTTCGTGATCTTGCTCCCAGGTTAGTCAATTTTTTTCCTTTTTTCCCCTTTTAACCAACGTTGACATTTTTGGTACGCGCAATTGCAAAAAAAAACGCAAAATATAATCTTAAAATGATTGGAGTAGCCCGTGGAATTTGTTGTGTAAATAAATAGCCAAGCGTTTTGTATGCTGTCCATGATAAGTATCATTGGTCTGCGTATTTTTTATTAATAATCGCATATCTATTTATTTTTGTGCCGGATTTGGGTCCAAAGTTTTATTTGATGTATGAATACCAAAATACAAACAGATTTTGTTTTAATTATTTTGCAATTTACGTGATAAGATACCTCCTATATTATCGCTTGGTAAATTCCCAACAAATAAACTGCATCAGAAATTTCTTTGTATTGTTGGGAAAAAAGAAGAAAGGTGGAGATACTGAATTCCTCTGTTATCGCAGGCGTCTATCTATGGTCATAAAACCAATCCCCAATGACTCTTTAAATATGATTTATTTTTGGTTAACCACCTCGGATCATAAATATTATCTATTTTTAGCTTCCGCGGTTGATTCGCAATAACAAATCATTTTGCTCACTGAAGTATTTTAATTTTAGAATTTTTTTTTTTTGCTTTATTGTTTCTTTAATAAACTAAAACATTTGTAATTGTGTTTGCTGTCTAGTTTTTAACAGGAATCTATTTTTCGTGAAGCTGGTTCTTGGCTATTTCCTTTGATTTGTCAAGGGAATCTATGGAATTCCTCAGGTATCTCATCTCCATCGCCATCTCATCTTTCCGCTTTGGAAGATAGGTTTTTAACAAGGTGCGATAAACAACAAATTAATGCCCTTGCACGATGACAGCCCCGCACAGTGAGCGCCAGAATTAAATTCCACATACCGCTCGACGGGCGCCGATGGAAATGCGAAAGGAGCTGGGAAAAGGGTTTTGGCTTTAGGCCGGGGAACAATTCATAATTGTCATTTATTTATTGCTCAGATATTGCGCGCTTGATTTTACGGGCGCTTATTAAAATGAATTTTTCAACACAGAAGAGATCGTCGGCGGAGTCTGGGGATCCCGGCCATCCGATAGGCCATTTGATCGAAAGCTTCGATATGTGAGCGGGCTATCTTCCCTCTCCCCCTCTCTCTTCTCTTCCCTCTCCACCCCTCTCTTTCGCTCCGCGCCGGCGTGTTTTTATTACAAGCGAGCGCCACCCGCTGCGCAGGCGTGTAACTTTTTTTTACGATGCTGTTTTCGCCGTTCTCCCTCTGCTGTTGTCCTTCGGATCGCTTTGTCTTTTGTCTAGAGCGGGTGGCTATCGCTCTCCCTTTCTGCAGGGTTCACCAGCGCTTTCTCCCTCACTCTGTGCACTGAGAAAAAATTAGGAAGTATCTGGAGGGTTCAAGAATTATAAAAGGATACCCAAGTTAAGCTTTAAAATAATTTTACTCTTTACCTTTTCAAATTTATATAATTATTCAATTGTCATTAAATGTTTGTTTAATTCTAAAGTTCTTCATCATTCATTTTCCCTCAGTGTAAGCCATTTCGCAATTTGTTACTGCTGGCGTGTTCACACCATTAAAGATGGCCCAAAGGGAAGCTGTTTTGTTTCGTGGCGTCCAAATTAATAGGCCTCGATCCGTAAGGATCTATGATTAATGAAGCGCGACTATCGCTGCCTTAATGCTGTCAATATATCACAATACGCACAATGCACTGCGCTAACCGATTACCGACCCCGGATCACATATGCTAAGGTGTCTATAATCCCAATCCCGATGATATTGCGTGTGCTTGGCATCGCGTGAGTAATCAGCCGCATGTGGGTAATGATGATCTCTACTCCCTCCAAGGGATCCTGCCCCAAAAAAACCACACAAAAACGCGTTCAATGCCAACAGCTTGACTCATTGCCGCTTTGCAACATGTTGCTCCGTTCATGCAACATCCATTGCGTCGGCCAACTCAAACCTGTTGTTGTTTCCTTGATGGGCAATTATCGCATGCGAGAGGCGCCAAATTTGCAACTGAAACTGAAAGCCCAATCAACCCCCAGAGAGTCAATTGGGGTGACCAGATTTAACCAGTTTTAACTGAATTTTAAAATTTAAATTTAACTGTCTTTTTTAGTGGGTTTCAATTTAAAGAGCAGGAAGAGATCTATCATTAATAATTGTGGAGGTTTTGTAACAAGAGAGTATGCATTGTTTTTAAAATCTATGATGAAGAATACTGAAATCAACAAGTGCACTATATGTACTTGAACTTTTACCATTTTAATTTCATATAAATTACTTTCTTTTCAATTGATTTTATTAATCAATTTTGAACGCTAAAATATTGCAAACTATTCCAATGAGCTTTTGACAGCTTCCAAGTCCTGATTATGGTCACTCCATAATGACAAAAATTTATAAAAAATGTTTACTGGTCAGTCAAAAATCAACCCCAAGAAACTTTCGGCTCTCCTTTGTGCAACTTAAGAGTAATCGCAAGAAAGTATAAAATCGCATGCAATTTTCTGATATAGACCGTTAGCGATTTACTGCTCTCTATCCTTTTCTCTTCCTCTCTGATTGGCTTCCGCAAACTTGAAAGAGCGAAAACTTTTCTCTTTTATATATTGCAATCAACTCGCTCTCAGTGCGGCTGTTGTTGTTGTGGCTGTTCTTCTTCTTATTAGCCTCGAGTGGTAAGCACATACCCTGCCCGCTCCCTGCCACGCCCCCTTTCCCCAGGAACTATTAAAAACTGGCCGGTCGCAAAGTCTCCTGAGTATTTGTTCCAATAAGAAAAGCCAATGCTCTGCTTCAGTCAACGCAGGCAGAGGCAGCGTCGCAGGCTGCGACTGCAGCCGAGGCAGCAAAAAAATATCGCATTTTGTTGGCCAGTTTCGCATCGCATTTAGTTGGGTTCGCAACAACAAAACATAACAAACCGCAGTCGCGAATCGGTTTGAAATCGGAATCCAAGTCGAATTTAACGAACATAACTTGAGTTTAATCAATTAAACAATAACGCTACAAATAAACCAAAAATAATTATGCCTTTTAAGCACCCAAGCTAAGGCTAATAATGCTAATATTTAGCATTCAAAACAAATCTTAAAGACAACTTATTTTAAAGTGTTGTGTGCGCTGGGAGCCTAACACCTTGTTGGCCACCCCTGCAGTTTGTTGTTTTGCTTGTTGACTTGCGGTCAAAATGAAGGAGAAAAACGTTTTCCCTGCGTTCATTTGAGCCTTATAAGCCGTTTAGCCAGGATCTGAAGGAATAGACGAAAAACGAACCCCTTTTTGGCTAAGCTGCCAGGACTTAAAGTATGGGTTTCCGCTTGAAACTTTCGGGGGATGGTCAAGTGATTCATAAATAGGTGGAAAAGTTATGGGTACAGTGAGTACTAACGCAAACAACTTTGCCAAAAGTAAAAACAAGTTTAAATGTTTTTATTGGTCAGTTAGTTTAAATAACAAATATACTTGTGAGAAATATATTACAATATGAGCTTTAATGTTAGTAATATAATTAGAAAGTCCCACTAAACTATGACTAGTTTGCATAGTTTTTAAACATTTATTATTTAAACGAGTTTAAAAATAAATATTCGGTAGGTTCACTAAACTCAGAACCGACATTTAGTTTCACTTTTAAAATTAGTGACTATTTTTGTCAAACTTTTTAGTTAGATCTTTTTGATCAGCATTTCTTTTAAAATACTTTCAAAGCTCTTGATTCTCTTATCGAATTGTCCTTAAGGCTTAGTTTCTCCTTCGCAGGACACACACGTGTTGTTGGCTTTCTCTTCGAGAACTATTCTCTCTTTGCGCAGCGGCGCAGCTGTTGTGCTCCCCTTCGGCCGGCTCTCCATCTCTCCGAATCTCTCGCCTTCTCCATTTCTCTCAGTGTCGCTCTCCACTGTAAAACGCAGCTTGGGCTTCCACGCAGTTTTGACACTTGTGACATTTTTGACACACAAATCAATTGTTACGTGAATTTTCAGCGCTGCAGCAGCAGAGGCAGCAGCGCCCAGCGACGTCGGGTAAAACGCTCACAAAATCGGGTAAAATCTTCAGCAAAAAATTGTACAATTTTTTTGCCATTTGCAAAAGACTTTCGAAAATGTTGTTTACCGGAAATGTGTGACTTTCGCGGTGTAAATCGAGTCCGAATCGTTGCCTACTTTCGTGCGCTGCGTGTGTGTGACATAATTTGCTGTTCGCCGAGAACTTTAATTTAAGGATTCCCCCACAGACGAGCCTCGCTATCATGACCTCAGAGTGCATAACACACCACGCGCCCGAACCTCCCCCTTTTTAGGGGCCTTCTTTCTGCTGCAAATCGATTTCTGTTTCCGGCATTTTTCACGTGGCTGCTGCTGTCCCCCTTCACTGAGAGAAAATCCCTCTTTTGAGGAATCCCAGACTAAAAAAAAAAATTACAAAGATCTTAACCTTTAAATTCAATGTGAGGCGACAGAACTTATTCTTGAAATTTAGTAGAATTTAATTTGAAAAAGTATTCAAATGTATTAGTTCCATAATAACCATTTCAGTGATTAATTTGTAAAAAAATACATCTTATTTAATCCTTGCTTATAGTCCTCTATTTAGTCTTAGAAATACCGATTCTAGCTTCTTTTTTTCTCAGTGTTCCCTTCGTCTGTTTCGTGCAGTTTTGGCATTTTGCTGCCGTTCTGGCTTTCCCGCTGTTGTTGTTGTTGCCGCCTAACGATTTTTCCCGCAAACAACACGGCGGACTGAAACGTGTCAGGCCGAAGGAAAAGCCAAAATGAAAAGCCCAAAGGGCGGCGAGAGAAGCGAGAGAACATTAACAGCAAGGTGGCCGTAAATCGCGAATCGTAAACAGTTTTTGGGCTCTGCGGGGAGCCAGCTGAAAGTACAAGTCAGCCTGGTTTATCGGAATCGTTTTTGATTTCCTGCCTTTGGCCTGTTTTCCGTGTTCCGTAGTCCATTTTCCGTACTCTGCCTCTGCCTGTGCCTCTGCCTCTGCCTCTACCTCTGCTTCTTGCCACTTCCATTCGCTTTTGGGGGTTTTCCAGCTCGCTTGGTTTCGGTTTCAATTTCAGTCAGTCAGCTGCTGCTTTTCACGTGGCACGTGTCGTATGAGTAATATTCTTTTCGGGGCTCCTTATCCCTTGCAGTCGCCACTCCACTCAGAACACAACAATATTGAAAGACTGTTTAATTGATATATCAACTGACACAAATTAATAAAGTGCTTAAATCAATCGCAATTGCAAAGTGTTCAAAATTGTTAAGCCTAGTATACCCAAAATACACACATAATCGAAGAGAACATTGAAAATTTGGCCCCAAAATCGATTCACCGAAATCGCATTCTAAATGTTCGACTGGATTGAATTTGACAAAGAAGCGTAGACGAAATACGAATGAAAATTAGATGCAAAATAAATGGGTAAAATGAGGTCAAGTAAATACGATGTAAGTATGCAGTTTCATTTTATAAATTAAGAGTAAGTTATGTTTAAGAATAAGAATAAACTTATCAGTGGAGAAAAGGAATTCTTCGACTTTTTTTAAAATAACTTTAAGTAGTAAAGCTGACTTTCACTAACTCCCCCCAATTGGCCATCAATCTTGACTGGTGGGCTCGCAATTACCAAGAGTCTGGCCAAAGCCAATTGAAGGTTATGCCATCCATCCAGACTCCAGTTGGCGAACTCAGCTGGTCAGCGAACCAAAATTTACATAATCACTTAACTCATGGCCCACATTTCAGGTGATTACCATCGGGTCGATGGAGAAACAATGGCCAGGCCGAGATCTGCACATAAATTAAGTCCAGAAACGGAAAACGGACGAGCTGTCTGCCCTTAATCTTGAATTACAAATCGAGTGCAATTATCCGAGGGGACGGCTGCAATGAGTCTCCCCAATCCCCAATCCCCCAATGGGTTCTCGCTTCCCCACTCGCGTTTCCCTCGGGGGCCTCTCGGCAATTTGTTTTCACACTTTACGATTTGCATGGCCGGATCAATGTTTTCGATAAGCGTCGACAAGGTTTCGTTGGGAGTCGGCGGTGGAACCTGGTTTCGGCCCCGTTCTCTAGCCCGGGAGTCCCGACATTCGGAGCAGCATTTGCGTGCCGACTCGCCTCTCGGCGCTACTGTGTGCGCCTTTAAATTTCGCATTTAATTGATTTGTCAACACAAATGTCCGTCGCGGCTTCCTGGGCAACTAAGCCGCTTACTCGCCGCGACTTGGCCTAAACACACGAGTTATGCCGGCATAAATCGCCGACTTTAGTCTTTGGCTGGAAAACGAAAGTCGGCTGCTGCTGCTGGCCGAGCTCCAAAAGCCGCTTCAAAGACTTCAAAGGCCCGTCGGCGCATCGCTAACTGCAATCATCAATCAAACAGCCAGAAGGGGGAAGGGTGTGCATCCTTGGTCACTCAATCGGCTGAAAGTTGCAAACTCATGTCTGCAAATGCTCCCCGATTCGGTTAGGCATTCGAATCCAGAGCTCCCAGTTCCTTCTGTGGGGGCGCTTCTTACGTGCTTCGACTCGCGATTCTCGGTGGGATGCACAATTATGGGGGGTAAGTCCAATTGCACAGTGGAAGGTGCTCTTCAAAATATTTTGAGGGCTTTGCAACATGATTTATGATAGGATCTAAATCGTATTGATTGCTTGGGGAAAATAATCGGACTTTATAAGTATTAATGATTAAAAGTAAGAAAAATGTTTAATGTATTAAATGCATTGTGGCTTAATATTTCTACTATGAATATTATTTGGTATATAATCATGTATCGCAATGTATTGAAAGAAGCCCCAAAATATTTGGGTATATATCGATTTAAAACAATAGCTTGCACCACTGTGTTCGAGCCATTGTCTGCTGACACTTGGCGACATTCTTGATTTCTCCTTTATTTTTAGGTAGCGCCAATGCGCCCTCCCTGAATCTGAATCTGAATCTGAATTATGTTGTCATGTCCCCCGGCTCTTTGTTTTGTGTTTTTGCTCCGTTTGGCTTTGTCTTTTGGCTTTGTCAGATGGCTTTTGGTTTTCTGCCTTTTTGGCTTTCTGGCTTTCTGACTTTCTGCAAAATGCGAACACGCGCCGCAGCACGTGGGCGGAAAATGTCTGCCGCCGTTTGCGTTTCTTTATTTTTTTTGGGGGGGAGCTCCATCTGTGCGGCGCTTATTAATTGTGTGCGAATGTTTGCACAATTTGTCAATATTATCGCACAAAACATGACCATTGGCAGGCGCCCCCGCATTCCGCGGCCCATTTAACATCTTGTTCAGCTACCAAAAAGAGTTTGCCTAAGTGATTTGTGATTTATGAGTTCACTCGATTTTCGCCTGCATATTGAATGGGATTTGGCGGGTGCGGTTGTCACCTATATTTTTACACATAAAGTAATTTGATATAATTGGTTGCACAAATACATTTCAACAAAATCACTTAGTAAGTACGTTAGCCACAGAAAAATTGGATTATAAAATCAAATAAATATATTTATACATTTTGTACGCAGAATACAAAAATGATGTAGCATTGATCCAAATATACAATATTACAACAACGATAATATTTATTTTCTGTGCATCTATTCACTCTCCTTCTCACTCTTCCTGTCTGTATATATCTATCTCTGTCTGTAGCCCGGTCTTTGGCCTGGGGGCCTGACTATTTGCTAATTCCTCCCCACTTGCCCCACCCCGCACACGTCTGGCAATATGCTTTACGACTTTATAATGCCCGGTTAATTGGGTCAACCAGCCCGAGGGGGCGGGGAGCAAAGGGGGCAGGGCAGGGTGGATGGAGGGGGGCGGGGGAGGAGTCAACGCATGTTTCAAATGTTTGATAAACGCGTTGTGGCATTGCCTCCTGACACCGCTCATACATATTAATGCCAAGCCAGCGTCTTGGCCGTCTTTCTGCGGCCTGGTAGCCAACTGGGTGTTGCTACAAAGTAGCCTTAAGACCCACAGAAACTAACCGACATAATGGGATCTGGGATCTGCAGTTGGTTCCCCACCCGAATCGAGTGGGCAGGAATGACCGTTGATTTGTAGCTCCCGTCCCGAGGTGTCAAATCGGTAATTTAACTTCGGCAAAGTAACAGAAATAAACAGCTCAACATTTGTTCAAGAACCGAAACAAATTCCGCATTCTTTTACTTGCAACTGTTTGAAAATAATAGCTCCTACTTAAGTGCTAATACTCAACAAAATTCAACAAATAATAGCTTACATAAATAGCTTAAATCGCTTGCCACATCCCACTTTCGATTACCCAAAAACATTTTTCAATTTCTGTAAACAATTTCGTTGTTTTCTGCGGATTAATTTGGATAACTTGAAAACTAAGTGTCTCGTGTAAGGGGCGTCTCCGTTGGGTCGACTTAATAGAAAGCGAAAACTCGACAATTTTCCACGAGTTCCACAACTCGCTGGCTGCTAAGCCGCGAAAGTAAATAATCCAATTATCGCACACATGCGCGCCCATAGCATAAATAAAATCATTTGATAAGACAAGCCATAGACCAAGGAGGCCGAAGACAGAAGACCGAAGACCAAAGACTGAAGACTAGAGACCGGAGAAGGCAGACTGAAGAGCGAAGAGCGAAGACCAGGCGGGGAAATTGCATAAACATGTTTGGGAGCCGCTTACTGAGGAAGTAAGTCAGTCAGATGAGAGTCGACTTTGCATTTGAAATATGCTGCATTAATATGCCGATAAATATTTGCCAGCCATCGTGCGACTCTCTTCGGATCTTCGCATATATATATCCATATATCTGTGTAGCTATATAGCTGGCTAACAACTCAATTAGATGGCAGACAGGGATGGTTTCGCGGGGGAGGGGAGGCCTGAAATTAAATGGCATAAAATATTTCCGCGAATGATCATCAGCCGATCCTGATTACGATCGTGATCATCATGGGCAGACTTTGTGCAACTTTGTCGCCTCTCGAGTGGAGTTTCCCTGGAAAATGTGGCATTTCAATGGGGATGATAGACTTTCGGATTACCTTTCTAAATATTTAAGATCAAATAAAATAATTAGTGTAACAAATCATTTGAACTTCTATTTAAATTACTCAGATATCAGATATCCATATCCCTCTTGATGTTTTGATTTACTGGGTATCAATGGGTTGGTTCCTCTGAATCTATATCCCCCTCCCCCTTTTCGAATCCCCTCCACTCCGCGTGCATTGTGTCAATGTCAGCGATGTCTCTCCATCTTCCCATCTGCGTCTGCGTGGCGTGTCAACAATTTGACAGACATTCATCAGCGTTCGCCACTTTGGAGCTGCCTGTGTCGCATACTCAATCAGCGGAGGGAACTCGGAGTTGGTGGGGCAGGAGTTATGTCTCCCGACTCCGCAGTTGGAGTCCCATTTCGAGTCGGAGTCGGAGTCCCAGTTGTCATTGGTGCGGTGGGGCTTTTGCCTTTGTGCCGCGTGCGCATAATTGATTTTTCGCCGCTTGTTCGCTGGTCAGCTGCCTGTGTTCTCCTGCTGCCGTTGTCATATTAATGTCAAAAAGATTGCACTTGATCATGAGTTGCGTGTTTGCCAATTTGTACATGCGAGCTCCACACAGAGCTCCGAAGAATGGAGAACGTGGGCCGCTCTTCAGCGGCTGCTAAAGGCGAGGAATCCGGCGGAGAATCATGGGAAAGCCGTCGAGTGAAAGGAGTGGGGAGAGATGCACTTGATCGTGGGCGTTGTTTCAACACCATGGGAAAATATTTCCACAGCTCTCGCCGCTCGACTGGCATTCGCAAGGGCTGGCGAACCGAACGGCAAAGTACAACGATGATATGGCTAAATATATATAAACACACAATTGGCAATATTTATCGATTAAATACCAAAATACCAGGTGGGTCTAGACATCCACTAAAAATAAAACGTGCGTCAAGTATTTTATCGCCTGCGATCACATGTCTTGCCTCGCTTTGTTTTGCATTCCACAGCGCATTACTGACCTAAGCTACCCGAATAATTAATGGGTGTGAATCAGTGGCACTTGGCGGCGGGGGCAATATAATTTTAAGGGGTTAAGGACCATAAACAGCGGGGAATAGTTCTGATTTTATGATAGGGGGATATTTTGTTTGAGTTTTCCAATGGCTCAGGTGAGGGTGTAAAGCTGTGTCGCAGTTAAAATGTGTCACTAATAAACTACAAATGTACAAATGTAAGTTCTATACCTTTTTGCATTTATCAAAGTGCTTTCTTGAGGGCGCTTAGTTCATCCATTTACCTTTAATAATCGCAACTTGCAGACCTATAATTTCCCCTTGATTTCCAGCTAAGCCCCCGCTAAGTGATGGTTCCACCCTTTCAACAACTTCCTTCGAGCACTTGATGATATGTTCTGCCAAGCTCAATTGCCATTTAATTACTTCAGTTAACAAAACCAACAACATCAGCGCTTCCACTGAGGGCGCCGCCAATTGCAATCGCACATGTTGAATGCAATTACAGGCGAAGCATTTAGACGCCAATAATTATTGGATATTTATATGCAGTCAAGAGCCAACAACAACAACAAGTTTGCCAGACGCTGAAAGCCAGTGTTGTGGGTGGCTGAAGGGGGCGGTGGGGTTCCGTGGAAGGAACATTGACATTGAATTGCATCTGCTCGAATCTCTAACTGTAAAGTGCCATCAGACGTTTAGATGGGATTGCTCCCCCACTTTCCCCCCTTCCACAAACATAATGTGTGTGCTATATCCCCCTTGAATTGTTTTCGCTTCGTGGCTCTTGGCACTCACTTTATTAAATGACAATTTGAAGGCGATGATGTTAATGATGCTTATGGGTTTGGCATTCAATGAAAATCTGATTGCATTTCTAAGAGGGTGATGTGAACAGAAAAGAGTTCTTAATTGACTGAGAAAAGGAGGAATAATTGGAGAGATAGTTTTAGAAAAGTTAAAGGGAACTTAATCTATTATGATTCATACTTACTTATTGTTTACATAAAGCACCTTAAATCGAATCCAATAGTGTTCTCGTAGTCTCGAAACCCCTGAGATCAACACCCGTCAAACGGGTTTGCGCCGATCAAGCCATTAACCCGTTGATATAATCTATCCGAGGTGCAACATATTATTCAATTCAATCGAACTATTGCATAAATCTTGGCCAGCAGTCACCCCATTGGGCCATAAAAGCGAGATCGGTTAATTCATCAAGAACTGGCAACGGTTGTCATTATGTCAAGTTCGTTGGGCAATACACTAAACTAGAGTTGTAATCAGAAACGGCACTAAAACACCACGTCCACCAATACTCAATACCAACTTCAGGCATTTCCACTACTTAGTTGCCGGTGGCTCATAAAAATGGCAATCACATTTGCATTGCTCGGCCAATGTAAATCGGACATCATACTGCGCATTTTCAATTCGATCCGATCGTTGCCCGATCGCTTGTTGTTTATTGTTTGTTGTGCGGGGTGTGTGTGTGTGTGCGTGTGTGTGCTGAAAAGGGCTAAGCCTAACCCAATGGATCCAATAGATCGATAGATCGGATAGATAGCACGCAGTTTCCCGGAAATCTGTGTGCAAATGACATGGTCGACTATTTTTAGGCTTGCTCAAGTGGCCCTGAAGTTCCCGAGGTTGTATATTTCGATTTTTGAACTCCTTGAAACGCCAACCAGGCCAGACGTCTCTCGATTCAATTGGAAGAATTTCCTCTAAAGTGCTGGATTTTCCTGGGTTGGGTAGAATAGTAGTTCATGGATAGCTTAACCTGGAGAAGCACCTTTGAATTCGCCAGTTTTATTATGATTTAATGGGGGTAATTTCTAAATTGGTTAACCCAGAACATAGTTACGAAAAACACTTAGCGACCTATTCTTCCTGTGCCCTCCATTTCGATTCTGGGTTAAACCAGTTTGCGATTATCTTTCACTGGAAAACCACACCCTGGCATAAAGTTAATTAAAAGCTTTCAGCGCGTTTGACATTCGCCGCTAATGTCGCGCCTCGCAAATGTTGCTCCCGTTGATAATGTTGCTGCTGTCACCGCCGAGGTTTGGTGTCCTTGTGCGTGGAGTTTGCCACACAATTAATTCAGGGGGCAGCAGTAGCAGCAGCAGCAGGCCGTTCTTTCAGACAATTAAGAAATTCCTGCCCGGCTGCTCAGTAATTTTTATCACATACATTTTTTATCGCAAATATCACAACTTCATCAGCAATCAATGCGGCCAACAAGCAACTGCAACCACTGCAACCGGAGAGGCGAGCAGGCAGACAATTAGCCATTAAATTAGCCGCAAGTTGGCCAAAGGAATGTGTTGTCGATGGCCAAGGCGTTCGGCGGTGGCAAATTGAAAACAATTTTAGCTATTTGCATATAAATGCAACCTGAGACGCTGGCCAGCAGCAGCAACCAGCAGCTGCAATGTTGCCCACCTCTTAAATGTTGCCGGAAAATGTTGCCGACCCACCGTGGAACAGATCTTGAAACCCTATCAACAATAAATCGCAGGACAACAACACCAGAAATAAATTTAAATGAAAGGATTAAAAAGGTCTTATCAATATTTAAAAATTTAATTCCGTACTGAAATTCATTTTGTATCTCGAGTATTTTTCCATCACCCCCACAAAATATGAACCTAAGGACAAGTACAAAAGGCTTACTACTTCTCTAGGTTTATTTCCATATTACCAAAGACAAATTAGCTCACAAGTTTTGTTCTTGTGAGATACGTACTAATGAGTTTTTGATCACCTTATCGGAGACCTTTTCCCATTTCCTGTACCCAATTTATCCCACTGTGCTAGGCCGTAAAGATTATCGGAATTGCATTTGCCATATAGTTCATAATGGCATGTTCTCCGACTGCTGTGGTCAGTACTAAACAGATAAAGATAGCTGAGGGCGATCGGCAAATGCTTTTATCAGCTCCGGAATATAAATATTGATACAGTCCGAGTGGACTTGGCAACAATTAAGGTAGCCCAACTGGAAGCACCACCCAGCAACCCGTCCACGTGGTCGACTTACACACATGGCCACATAAAAGAGAGCGAACACTTGTGAGTGCTGCTAAAAAATATTTCCACAAAGGTTCAAACTACATTTCATGCCTAATTTCATCTGACAACAACAACGCCGAAAAGCTAAAGTTGGGGAATAACTTTACACATTTTCTTGGTGTTGTTTTTTTTTTAGCGGCGCCGGCAATCGCGGGATTGGTGGGGCGCTCTGTGGTGGCTGCTGTGTTAATTTGAGACATAATTGCAAGCTCCCCAGGATGAGTGGGGTGCTGGAAGGGGGAGGGGAAGGTGGAGCGGGAGGGGAAGGGGGGACTTGCACAGTGGGACGGAGGGGACAGCTGCGCCGACTGGTTATGACAGCAGTGACAGCTGCGGCATTTGAATAATTTGCAATTAAACGCTCCACGCGGCTCGGCAATTAAGCAAGGAGTCAAGGGGAAGCAGCAGGGGAAGAGCTAGTGCAGAGAGGAAAATATCTTGGTTTGTTATTCACATCAGTAGAAATCCAAAATGTCTCAATAGAAGTTTTCTCATCATCAGAAAGTATTAAAGATCCTACAAATCAAAGTTTGTATTGAAATTTTTTTACTAACTAATTAAAACACATCAAGTTGAAAAAAATTACTTTAAATTTTTGCCAGTGTAGACGGGGGAGTGAGAAAAATGGCAAACATTTCGCCGTGTCCAAAAGCGCCGCAAGACCGACCACACGACGTATGCGTAATATTCGCATCTGATTCGCATGTGAATCGCCGAGCCTGGTCGAGTTTTGAACGGGTTTATCTGGTAGTCGCAGGAGTCGGGCTGAGAACGACGAGAATCCAAATGTCCACGTCCATCAGCTGTCCGCAGCTGCTGAAAGTTGATGGCCCGCGATGAAGACAGCGGACCGGTCAAAACCAACACCCAACTGTGTTTCCAATTAAACGCCGCTTAGCCAAACAACGCGGCCAAACAACCCAAACAACCCAGAGAGCCAAAACAACGTGGAACAGCCAAACGTCAGCGCGACTTTCAGTTTGCTTTACGGTTACCCCGCAACTCGGTTGCACTGAACTTGAATCTTTATGTGGCAGACAGATCGGCCTGGAGCCCCGTCCCCCAAGTCTGATTTAGATCCAGATCCAGATCGAGATCGAGATCAGAGCTCTGCCATTTGGACGGAGTGTGATACGGACTGACAGACTGAGTAATTGATGGCCCGCTGATTGATTGATTGATGGACTGCCGATTGATTTATGGGTCTTCGTGGGGGGCTGACTTAGATTTTCCGCTGATCTGGAGTAGTGTGGCTTAATCGGTGTTAAACGCTGTCTGCTAACTGTTTGGTGGTGTAATTTATGGTGGATACGGAGTCAAGTATTTTTCGGAATTTCTTCTGTTGAATTTCACAAGATAATTTTGCAGGAGAACTGAGCAGAGTACCAATATGAGTAGTTCCCTGATTAACTAAATTTCTCTTTCATGAATTATATTTTGACTAATTTAAATTGTTTTGATTCATTAATGACCTAGTTTTTTAGTGAAATTAGTCAATTGTTCGAGCCTGACTAATGAGTGCCTTCAGTAAGTGGAATATGAATCAAACCAAATACTATTCAAATTAGTTACTAGTCAGTACTTGGATATGTTGCTCATACTCTTGCTAATACTGTTCTTTTGCGAAGCCTTCAGTGAGTAACTAGCAGCTAAAGTAATAGATATTATTCCTAAACAATAAGAAAGCTCTTCGCAGCAAGTTCACCAATGTGAGTGCGGAGTGCAGCGATGAGTTCTGCTCGGGCATCCGGGGATGGCTGACCCCCAGAGGTGAGCTCAACCTGGACATCCACCTGAACCGCACCTTGAGGAACGGGCTGAGGACCACCATTAGTCTGCTCCAGCTGCTGGACGGCAGAAGTCGGTACCAGATGCTCTTCAGCTACGACATGGACACCTGCAAGACCCTGCGGGAACTCCTGCAGGCCAGCTTGATGAAGGTCTGGCTGCGGAACGTGTTCAAGTACGGCAGCCTGGCCGACCGCTGTCCCATCCAGCCAGTGCGTACTGTATTCCAATGTGATTGAATGTGTTGGAAGGCCTGGGTCAAAGTTTCTCCCCGCAGGCCTTCTACAACGTGCGCAACTTTCGGCTGGAGAACCACAGCATTCCGGGTTACTTGCCCGCGGGATTCTACCGCCTGAACGACACAAATTACTATGGGAAGCCCAAGGGCAGGCTGCGTCGTTCGGTGGCCACTTTCTTGCTGGATATAAAGTTCTATTAAATGGAAATGGAAAACGCGAATCCAAGCTGCTCAAGTGGGTCACGGGTGGGGCCAACGGGTCTCGAAGTTTCAACTTTTCAAGGTTTCTGTTGGCCTCTTGCGAGTGGTGGAGCAGAACCAAGTTCAGGCTGATAAAAGTCTGAGAAAACGACAGGGATTTCCCAGCGAGATTTAAGTGAAAAGCCCGCTCAAGGTCCCCTTCTTTTCTTCCGAACATTTCTGACAGCCAACAGACCTCCGGGCTTGCTCCACTTTCAGCCGGAACCTTTGCCATCTGACAATGCAGGTCTTTAACTAATTGCATAATAAATTCAAGTGAATTTATGGTGCTGCTCCTGCAACTGTCCTTCCTAATTTGCGTTGTCAAAAAGTCGCTCGATGTAGGTGATTTATGCATATGTACATATAACTGGAGGCTCACGTGCCCGCAGTGCTCCACATAATATTGTTTTGTCATAATTGAATGTGCTGTGGGTGTTCCTGTTTGCGGTTTCAATTTATACGAAGTCCATGGAAATCAAGAGAAGTACAGCCTTAAATCACTAACCTTACTTGCAATTGATTGCTTGACATAATTTATTTAAACTTAAATCACTAACCCTACTTGCATTTGATTGCTTGACATAATTTATTTAAGCTTAAAATTTGGGTATATATAATATTTTATGGCGCAACCTTGTGCAAATAATTATATTCCACCCGAGTTATGCATAAATCTTTAAGTTTATCTTGCAACCAAAAATGTAGATCTGAGAAAGACAAGTTCGAGTTTAAGTGGCAGATAAATCTTAAAAGAGAGTTGTTGCCTAAATTTAGGCAGGGGATTTTTCGGCAAGTAGAACAAGGTTTTACTGCACCATAAATCTCACATTGTGATTTACAAGCTAAAATATAAGTTTGCAAGTTTGCACCTACAAATTCTTTAGTTTCCTTGATAAGTTTAGAAATAAGTTTTAATAATTTTCTGCCAGCTTCTAAGTACAATTCTTCATTTCAGGTTACCACAGCTTACGGTCTATGCCAAGATTATTTACCTCCTGATGGTAAGTCGAAAACAATTTAAAGGTGATGAGTGTCAATTTGATGACAACATCTCAAGTTACTCAGCCAGAATCCTTGGCTCTCTGGCCAGTTCATCACACTCGCCCATTCAATGCAACAGTTTTGATAAACATATTTAGATATTTACACCGCCGGCGGGAAATCAAATATTTGGTTGGAGTGCCCTTCAGGGCGAATATTGACGCGTGTGCAAATATTCGATAATACTATCAAATGTTGTACAAGTTATATCATCATCCTCGTCGCGCCAGAGAGCAACAAACTTGGCCAAGCCAGGCCAAGCCCATTTTTTTCTGTTGAGGGGGATGGGGAAAAGCACCTTCGGTTCCGAAAGTATGCCAATTATTTTATCAAAGGGAATTTCCCTGCAAATCACAAACCAACATCGATCGCTCAACATCGTTATCAGCTGCGATTGGGCAAATATTTGACAAAAAATAATAATAATAATAAGCGAGCACTACAATGGAAGCGTCGAGTGTCGAATACTTATAAAATGCCAACAACCGAACGCTAATTAAATTATACTGTTCTCCGTTTCTTACACGTTTTCTCCAGCTGTTTGTGGATGTTTTTTCTCCTTACACTTTTAATTTATTTGGCAATCAATTTGAATTGTGGCCAAAGGGGCAAGGGGGTCGGCGGGAGGTCGGATGTCCCCATGTCTGGTGGGTTGTTAATGTGCCGAAATAAATAACTGGAATACCTGGCATTCCTTACCCGTGAAGCAAAAACTGGGCGACGTCTTCGCCAAGTTCCGTCTACAGAGGTTTTTCCTGAACCCACCTCGCTTACAGCCAGTATTTGCTTATTTGTTCTAAATGAACAACAACATTATTTTGGCATGAGTTGGCTCGAGGCTGGGACTTCGAGTTGATTGAATCGTTCAACGCCTCGAGTATTTCTTATTATTATTTATTGTACCGCTGAGGTATTTATCGTGCCCTAGGCATTCCGCAAATCTCCGCCACTGTCTGAACCCCTTCATAAATCGAATATGCAAATTATGACCCGGTGCGATTATTTTTGGCAGTATTCAATATGCGTAAAATTCCACTTGCAATTAAGGCGGATGTGAAGATGGCCCAAAGAGAAACGTTCAAAAGTGTGCTAAATTTCTAGGGAATTCATTTTATCGTTACTCTTGAAGGAATTTTAACACGGCTTCAGCAAATATAAATGAAAACTTTTCTGTTTTGGTAATTCGGTAATATTAAACGTCTTTATTAATTTTTCTCTTTCACATATCTCTTTTTTATTTCCCATTATAAAAGCTTGTCTACTCACTCAAGGCAGATATTAATTCTGGGACTGACAAAACTTTAGTAGTTTATAGGCTTAAATTTCTTCGTAAATCAAACTTTAATGGGTCAATATAAGTTCGAACCTTGACTTTTCTGACTCACTTCACTCGAAATACTCCGCTGTTCCGGGAAAAGGAAGTGTCCTTTATAGCTGATGGATGGCTGGAATTTAATATAACTAATGCAAGCGGAGTGCCCGGGGCTTAATATATATTTGCTGGGGAATCGCCGATTATGGCAATGAACGCCCGCCGAGCAAATAAATGAGCAATCAAGGGCCAAATTAGCGGCACTTTTTATGGTAGCTTTACATGGGGCTTTCGATAGTGTCGATTTTGATTGGCGCCAGGCAAGCAATTGTCGTTCTCACAGGTGACTTCCTCGCCGTAAAGACCAGACAAAGATATCCAGAAATGAGTCCAAGAAATCTCGACTGTCCGTAATGAAATTGAATTTTAAATTCAATTCAAATTGAAATTATTAAGAAAAGTTTTATGCAATGTTAACCCTTTTTCTAAAAGCTTACAGTCATTAAAATGTTGTTAAGAAGATATTCTCCAATATTAATCATATCAACCTATAACATAGTAGCTTTAGTTTCTAATTTAGCAATACTAATTTGCAAACAATTTTTATTTATCTTGCGGGCTATACCCATACTCCAAATAATCTTATCATTTCATATTTTATTTCTTTTCCAGACCTTCAATCTTTTTGTCTAAACATTGAAGTTCATCAATGAAAAACAGATAACACGGGGATTTCACTTCACGTAAACTTTGTAAAAGTTTCCATTAGGAGATACCTTGGGATCTCTTTCCTAATTTCCGTCATGTTTCTACCTTAACTGATTTTGTTCTGGTTAAATCCCACTCAAGTATTGGAGAACCCTTGGTGAAATTCATCCTGGGTTGCTATGGGATTTATTCGGGTTAATGTTAACAACAGCTTTATTTTGAAGAGCGATTCTTTCAATGGTCTAACAAGAAGTTGAGAGCCACGTTTATGGCTCAATTAGTGATAACCATGCACCTCCGTTCTTCGCAGCTCTGGTTCTTGTTTTATTAGTAAGTTGCTGGGGCATTATTGGGTGCTGTTTAATTTCTCTTTTTCCTGTGGCGTTGCCCCAAAACAGCGACGCTTATCACGAAATAATTTCAAAACGTTAATTGAATTGTCAATAGATGGGGAGGCAGAACTGTTTTGGTGTCTGGCCCTCTGGCAACCGGTGATAGCAGAGAACGAAAGGCGTACCAGAGATATACACCCAGAATATATACCCGTACTTCTTGGTATTGCCTCTATAAATACCGAGAGCTAAGTGTATGTAAGTCGGTCTCTAATTGCATTGCCCAGATAAGAATTCGGTTCGAATTTGGTCGGTTTTCTCGTTATGGAAATCCATCCAACCAAGGCCATATCCACCGAAGTATCCAAAGCCCCAAACTTGTCATTGTTAGTCTCGATATCGGTGATCGGTTCTGGCCCAATCGGTGATTATCTTGATCGGCATTGTTTTGGTCAACAGCGGAAAGTTTCGCCTCGCGTTTTAAAAACGTGCTCGCCGATAGGAAATTGCGAATAGAAACGTGTTTTCCGCAATCACTCACAATGGCATTGATAAATGGGATTGGGCTTCAATAAAAGTGCCACAAGCTTTGGAGACAACGATAGTTGTTTCGGGAATGTCGGAAAACCCATTTGCTTGGGGTTACCTTAAGGTCATTACGCATCAGGAATTTTAAATCGAACAAACAAGTTGGGAGTGACCTTCGCCTCTGGGGATTCCTACCTCCCTTAGTCATTATTATTTACTTGTTTATAAACAAATATGGTATTTACAAATTAGCCTTCTACTTCTGCTTATTGTTGATGCCAAAACTGAGATAAATCCCGAAATCAAGACAGAGCTGCCAATCTTGGAACGTAGAAACATAATGCTGACCCAGACGAATGGCTACGAAAAGTGGACAAGGGCCTTAGCTATCTGGACATAATTTGATATGATATGAACATGATATGATCCAGGGGCCAAGTCGTAAATTAAGTTTTGTTTCTTCGAAATCAAACGAAGCTAAGGCCCCTTGACAATGTCAGTGATTTTGATTTATGCTCCCCGTTGGAACATTCGATGGTGGAATCAATTCGGTCTTCAGCCTTAAAAGGCTTTTGCTGTAAAATGCTTTTCCGACTTTCACGCCGCGATTTCCGCTTTTCGAAGTGGCGGAGTCCTCCTTTTATTCCTCCAATCTGCCGCTGTTGACTTTGCTAATGTGTGGGCAAATACTGCACTTTTCCACTTTTCCTGGGACGAAACGTTCCACTGGATTCATGTTGATATCGATGTCGTCTGGCTGAAAGTTTACTAATTGATATCCTACAGATAAACACCCCCAACTGCTTTGATTGTCTGGAAATCGTTGTTTTTGCCAATCGCTTCTGGCCTATCCTTTGCTATCATATCTTTAAAATGTTATAAATACCGCCAGTAATTTGCCAATCGCACACCTTATATAAATTTAATTCCCTCGCACTTGGCCAGACATGTGCTTCGGCTTCTTATCGATGTTTTGGTCTTAAAGGCCAGAAATAACAAACAAACTTAGACTAGGACAACTAAGGGACAAGATGCTTAACCCTTATATAAGCTGCCATATTTCTGAGCAATTAGCCTTTACAGCACTTAAAACAAATGGCACCTTTCGATAGCCTTTTTACTGCGCAGATGTTTTGCGGGGCATTCGCCTGTTATTACTTTGAATAACAAATTGGTCTGGCGAGTATTTGCTTTTTTATGTAAATATTATTGTCGCACACGAAATTGATGGGGCACAGTGGTTCACGATACATAGTTGGGGGCACGACAAGAAGAACCCCCCAAGATGGAGAAACAATATAATTTATACACTTATAAATGCTGCACAAACATTGCATTTATCAATGGGCGAATGTCAAAAAGGAATGTTATCGAGTCCACTGAAAGAAAGTTTAATACATTTTACCAAAAAGTTTATTTCCCTTTCTTCTTTCTGGGATCAACAGATTTGTGCTTTCTACTGAGAATAAATAATATTATTTTCAATTTAAGTAACTGAAACTTATTTATCTTAAGTTTCCTACTCAGTGGCCGAAGTGTCTGGTTTTGGAGGATAGCCACCCACTGACCGCCCAGTTCTCCCCCTTACTAGGCACCCACCACCCACCACCCACTTTGCCCCACCAGATAGCAGCAGCAGCAGACGCGGCTCGGCAATCTTATCGGGCTGCTCTTATTGATTAATATAAAGATACTGACAGCCCAATCGGCGCACTGCCGCGGTATCTGTATCTAAATGGGAAGGCTGAGCACTGGCCCTCCGGAGCTGGAGGAGCACCTTTCTCACCTGGCCGGCGCTTCGGGCTGACATGCAGAGCAAACAGAAAGACACAATTATTTTTCATATTATTGTTATTTGTTATTCGTTATTCGTTATTTGTTATAACGGCAGATAGGGAGCTCCTTTTGGACTGTCCCATCTGACACGCATTTCTCCGCCTTTTGGCGCCCTCGCCGTATCGATAAAGTGTTCACTGGATGACTGACAGTGCACTGAGCGAAATTCCGGGGGTGCCGGTGGGCTTGGTTTGGCGTTAGCCAAAGTGCTATTTGCGCACTTAGATAAGCGCATTTTTGGCAGCCCATCAAAAGTGATAATCGATTGGTTTTCAGGTGCTTTTTGTTTGCCGGCATTCCAGTTCGGAAGCTTTGTTTCGGGGACACTTTTTATGGGGCAGAATTATCGCGAAACGGAAACACACAATGGCTTCTGTTCAATAAAGGGGCCATTGGAAATTATCGTTGATAAATTTGCAAAAGGAATTTTGTTTCGAAACCACACGTAATAAAATGAATGGAATTTCTACGAATATGTTTCGAAATTTTAACAGGTGCTTATCTTGTTCAACATTACCAAAGCTACTTAAATATGAAGTTGAGTACAATATTTATAAAGTGTCTTGGAAATACATTTTTTAATTTATTAAAATTCCTTAGCAAAAAAATGTGAATCCCACTCGTAAATTGTTATTAGATGTTTTTCCCTATAAGCAATTCATGTGTTTTACAGCAGTAATTCCTGCAATTACACTATTACAACTTCAGACTCCCCACGATCACTTTCCCCAGTTGTTTTTAAAGTCTCCCCAAGCACTCCCACCTGTCATTGCAATAGCTTGTGTCAACTGCAAGCGACCCACTTGGGGATCCCCCACTCCGCCTATTTTACTGCCTCCGAAGCCACAAAAGCCCCGCAGGAACCGCAGCTTTCTTTTTGGGTTATGCACAGAGAACTCTCCCTTTCTGGCTGGCTTTTATCGCTAGCCAAACTTCCGCTCAGTGTATCCCCGCCCCCACCGATTTTACCAGTATATAGTAGAGCGCCAGGCGGTCTTTTTGTGATTGTAATTGTGATTGTGCTGACAACAAAACCAGCCAAAGACAGCCGACGAGCTGTTTATGATGATGATTTCTGCCATGTGCCATATGCCATGTGCCATACTCTTCGTATCCATGCGATACGGTTTACCATGATTCGGATGTTTTGGCTGAGCGTCTGGGCTGGAAATCTGCTATAAACACGACTATTTGGGCTGCATAATTACGGGCTGTTGTTTATTTCCTGTAACATGCAAGGCGAAGACCTCCGAGAACCCTCCCCCTCCCCCTTCCGTTCCTCGAAGGCAAACAGAAAATAGGTCTGCTCATGGGGGCTTATAAAGCCGTGTTCCGCTATTGCAAAACGCATTTTGTCTTATCAGTGAGGCAACTGGCGGCTAAAGAACCCAAAAGGCTCTCGGAATATTCCACATTGCGAAGCGCTGTATTTGTCTATCAACAGATACAAAAGACTGGAATTCGCCCGTGGAACTGCTGACTCCCTTGGTTTTTCCACACCGAAATTATGCACACCTCTAGTTTCCAAGGGGAAATTTTCATCCAACTTCCCAGACTTCTTCTTGGTTCTAGGTGTTAGCAATGTCTGACATTCCATTGCGCAAAAACAAATCTTAGCAATAGGGAATTTACATTGCTTTCCGACAGGCTTTAGTTTTAAGCTTGAAGGTAATGAGGTCTTAATTCGGGTCTAGAATGTAAATATTTATACCAAAGGAATTCCAAGTATTTAGAATGCACCGAAAATTTTCCACCGATTTTTGGGTAAAACTAATTGTCAAATAAACTGAAAATAAAGAAATATAGTACTTAAAATCAATGAATAGATAAATGTCCAGAGAATACTTAAATTATTACTTAAAAACCCGTTTTTAATTAAAAGCTAAAAGAATAAGTTTCTTAAAAATAGCTTTTTAGGCTTTAAATTACCAAAAACTTTACTTTTTACAGGGTATCATGACTTCGGTTATCGGCCATGGTTTCCCAACATATTGTTGCCGCAACCCGCTGGCACGAGAATCAAATCAATTAGTACGGTTGTCAAATACCTTGTTGTATTTTGGATTAACCACTGAAGTAACATTTTTTGCGATATCGATAAAACGATACCGAGCACCGCGTGAAAGCCTTGCCACACGCCAAACGGGTTCTTCGATAACCGGGCTCAACTGTACTTAACCTTGTATCTTCTAACTTTCCTCCCGATGAATGAAGATTATTTTTAGGGAAAGGAACAACCCTGGTAATCCCCAAGCTTGACCACGGTTTACATATGGCAAATGATGCTATTTTAGATTACTTTTGCTGGAGTGGCATTAAAAACCGATCTATTTTGCTTAACCTCAATCCAGAGGTCCGTCTATTTCAGTGCCTAGGTTAAAAAAAAGTTTTATAATCAGTGTGACTTAGGTCAGTCACATTCGGTAACTATTGAAGTACAGTCGCGTTGAATTAGCTAATATAATGCAGTCTCGATGATCGCGTACAATTAGCTAATGCAGGGCAGTCTCGATGATCTGAAGCCAATGAAGGCCAATTAAAATTCCTAGCTGATAATTGGAGTGAAGTACCAGTACTCGACTCCCCCACTCGATCGCACATTTTGCAGTACCAAATTCGCTTATCGATCCGATCGATCCGGGCGAACGACCTTAACTCGGGGTCTTGACTCTGCGCCCCATTATGCAAGGGGCTGGCTGGTTTTGGCCAAATATTTTAGCCATGACTAACGTAGGCGAGGTCTTGGAATGCCAACTGCTATCTGTTATCAGCTATCTGCGTCGCTTCCGCGTCACTCGTTTGATCAAAGGAATGTGGGGGCAGCAAACCCTTTTTACATTCTTTTCGCTTTTGCGTTGTAAACCGAAACCTGGCGATCTGAGGGCCCGACACTCGAGAACTCTGGGACTGATGTTACGTCTGATTCGGAGCTGATAAAATGCCAGGCCGTTTATTGTACTTGTATTTGTAATTGTATTTGACTTGATTTGTTTGGCATTGTCTTTGTCTATCTAATTGCTGTCTACAAACCTAGATTTCTCGGAACTGTCCGATGGCCAAATACTAGAGACGAGTGTGTAGGATTACGGGCTACCACTAACTGTAATTTCAGTAAGCTCGCCACTTTCCGACAGACAGGTGATTCAGTATCGAATTGACTTTTGGACTCCAATTTCCACGAATCCTATTTATAACGTATATTGAGCAAGCTAAGCTCTTAAAACAATTTTAGTTGGTGCTGCAAGGGATTTTCGTAATAATTTCTTTAATGTTTAAAATCACCTAAAAATGCACCGGAAAGTAGGCAACAATTTTTGATACATTTCTTGAATCACAAGCTCTTTGCGTTATATTTTATTATAAATAATTTTGGAAAAAACATGCACTTGCGAAAATTTTTGTGTTGCGTGCCCCTAAAATACGGCACGATGACAGTGGGCGCTGTGTTCGGCATTTTTAATCTTGTCACGGGCGGCATTGGTTTTAATATGGTCATCGCGAATGAATATCCGGATGACGTGGTCGAGTTCTTCCGGACCATGGACACCCAGACCTGCATAGCCGGATTCTCGACTCTGCTTTGGTTGCTGATGATAGATCACTTCCTGCTGATCTATGCCGCAATATACGTGAGTGTAAAAGGATCTCATTGGCAATGTAAACACGGTCTATACGATTTAGAAAAATCGCATTATTATCGGAATCTGGCTGCTGATAAACTACATGATTTTTCTGTTTACTTTGATTACCGTTTTGCTAGATGGCTGGATGGTCGCAAGAACCTGTAAGGTCGCACTTAGTATCTAGAACAGAAATAAGAACTTTATTTTGTAGTGTTGCTCGGCTACTCCCTAATTGTGGTGAAGTCCTACTATACCGAGTTGACTGTGGTAATCGATGACGAAGATTCACTGTCCGGAGATGAAAGTGAAAGCCAGAGTGGAAGAAGTTTCGAGTCTACTGCATAATATTGAAATTTTTTGTATTTGGTAATTTTGCTTATAGTGTTTAATAGAAATCGAAATCACAATCGGATTAATCAATAAAAACTTCGATAATATAATCGAACATCCGATCTCAGTGGTCTTAAAAACGCTCCCTCTCAGCTGGCATTCGGAATATATTTATCTTCCGCCTTCCTGGAAGGCAAACAGGATTAAGCGATAATGAAACTGCACTTTCCGAAAATGCCGTCAAAAGCCGCGCTTCAGACTCATTAAAAATCCATTAAACTCGATAAAAAACGAGAGGGAGATGGAGGCTCCCCCAAAAAGAGAGGGACGGAAAGCGGAATAAGCATTTCTTAATAAGCTTTACACACAAATGTGGAGCACTTGGTGACAGTTCGCGGCGACTTTTTGGGTTTTTTTCCCCCAAAAGGGTAAAGTCAACGCAGGCCCAAAAAAAAAAAAAAAAAAAAAACGAAATAAGTCAAGAGTCGAGGGCCGGCCACTTAAAAGCTCATTTTGTGAGTGCATTTCGGTGTTGCATATGCAAATAAATCATTCCGTTTCCAATTCGGAATTCGTGCTGCTCGCGAGATATGCAAAAATCGAGGAGTAAATGAGCTCCGAATCGTTTAAGGTACAAATGAGCCAAATCAGCGCTGATCACGAGCAGTTTGTGGCTGCGCATTCATTATAAATTAAATCGTATATAAATGGATAATCCAATTCACTAGTGTTACCTAAACTACAGAAGCAGTTTTGCATTCCTAAAACATGAATCACTTAGTTACAAAATATTTTTAGAAAATTTATGAGACGTTTGTTTACTAACTTACACGATGGAATGCATACAGCCATTTTTCCATAAGACCAATAATTTAGTGGATATAAATAACCATCTTTATTCATAAACTTTGAGTTTGGGATAGAGCAAATCACTGATTCAGTATTTCTTTGAAAGCATTAGGGAACAGACAATTTCTTATATAGTTCATATTTCCTAATATAATAGAAGCATCTAAAAGTGTGACTAATATTGCAGGGAACAACACTTTTCCTTCAAAATATATTTAGACATTTACATTAATAGTGATTCACGGCAGTGACCAATACGTTATGCTTGTACAAACATTTAGTCGCACAGAGCATGGCTTTAAGAACCATAAAACCTATTTACCAGATACAGATACAAACAGCAGATACAGTTGCAGTCGGGTTGAATGACACCCTCGAGTGGAGCTCTCGCACACTGTGTCAAACATTTATCAGGCAATCGATAAGCAGACGATCGCTCCGCTTCGCTACAAAGTTGGGGATAAAGTTATCAACGACAAAACTCCCGATACAAAGCGGTTCGGCCCCACAACTTTGTTTAATGATTGGCATAAAATTCACTTTCCGACTGCCCGCCGTGCGTTTTATGCCCTGGATCTGAAAAGAGGTCCTAAAACCGCCGATCCAAGCCGCCGACTTCTCCTCTAGAATTTATGCGGTGCCATTAAAGAAGTGTCCATAAAACGTTGCGCTTAATTAAAATGCCACGTAACGCGTTTAAGCGCAGGACGGCGGTCGAGATTTTCAATTTCGCTCAAAGTTGAGTTGCAAATCGCGGGCAGGCAACCTATATTTATGGCCACAAAAATCGGCATCCTTTTCCACCGCCTAATGAGATTTTCACAAAAGCAAAAATCATAATTTCCACGCGCAACGAAGCGCAACAAATTGCCCTTTTGCCAAGGGGGCGTGGCATTTGCCACAGTTTCAGTTTCAGCCAGACACACCCATTTCTGGAAAATAGCAGGGAAAACTGGGTGCCAGAAGTGGACTGATTTCCTTAAGTTTAAAAATATAATTTGTGGTTTAAAAAAAGATTGCTCTAATAACCTCTTAGTTTTATTTTAGAAACGAACAATACTTTTCACCTTGACCGCGTCTTTAAGTGTTGATTACTTCACTATCTGACTGAAAGAGATTTTCATATTCGCTGGGAATTTATTTCCAGGCAGCTGACAAGAAAATCGTTCACTCTCACTTTTAACTTCACATTGAAACCGAAAAAGTGACAACTTTGATTTGTGGATTATGTGGCCTTAAACGAAACAAATTTATGGATGCTTCTCAAATGTGGAATTTAAAAGTGACGTGTTTAGCCGTAAAAATAAGTGATATTTCGTTTTCAGAGAATTCCCGTGATCATTCGCTAAATATAAAGCATACTCTATTTGTTTGCCAATGGAATTTGATTAATCATCGTTGAGCAGCAAGTATCTGATCGAATGCAGGAGGAATTTCGCTGTTCAATTATTTTATATCAGAGTTCTAAGTGTGCTCAAATAAATCTTATCGTTTTGGACAAGGCGAGAAGTCACTCCTGTTTTGATTTGATTTGTGTTTTACTGAATACTTTGGAGCAGCAAGTCTGTTTTACGACGGGAAGCGAGTGCAGATTAGGAAATCAATCTACAAATGTTTGGCCCCGTTCACAATAATTTGCCAGCATGATTATCTTTTGAATTTCCAGCGGCAAGTTGGCAAATATTAATAATCCGCCGCGTTGTACCGCTTATGCAACGAACCGTGCCAATTACAGATCTCTCGGCGATTGCTCGCCCATCGAGGCGTAAGTAATGCAGGGGCGTTGAAAAATCCGATACCCGAATGGATCATTAAAATCCGAAATCTGAAATTTTCTGCACATTAAACAGGCTATGAGATACAGTATCTGTGACTTTTTGGAGCCCCATCTGCGTCCGCATATCAATTTCAACCCAGGACGCGCTGCACCCCAGGAGCTTGGTGTCTCCTCGGACGGAGCTTGTGTCTTGAACCCTTTCGCCGCATAAGGCAACATAATTCGCTTCCGTTTGCCAATCCAAACAAAAAACAACAAAAAAGGCAAGACAGAAACTCATAAGGATAACTGCACTGGGAAACAAACTTTGGGTTTAGGAATTCACCTACATTAAAGTTTTGTTTTGAATACATAAGATGAAGATAGATAATAATATCAAACATGTTGAATTGTTGATAATCGAATAAGTAAGCTATGGGAACTGGTTTGGTAAGCAATTATTATTATTGAAATGACAAGATTGGTTTATTAAACAAAAATGTGTTAATAGGAAATATATATTATCTAAATAATTGTTATTTGCTCAGTTATTCAGTTAATTTTTTTCTTCTCTGTAGCCAGACGTATCAGCAAGGGTTGTCAGTCCTTCGACAGCTTCCTTTGCGGTTCCCCCCTTCCATCTTAGTCCCCCTCCCGTCTTAACCCCCCTCCTGTCTTAACCCCCCTCTGCCCGGCATTTGTGTGTCAGTTGCCAGTTTCGCGTCTTTCCGCTTCCGTTTTACTTGCGACCCGAGGCGACCCCATAAATCCGCTCACTGTTTGTCTTAGATCGTCCCACTCCCATTTTCCATTTCCCACTTGCCCACTTCCCCCTTCCCTTTTCCCTTTCCCAGCCAACTGCCCTTCGTCGTAACTTTTCCTCGTCGCCAGTTATCCTACACATATTTATTTTCCTTTTAAATGTGTTTTTTGTTGATTTTATTGCATCGCTCTGGCAGTTCAATGAACGCATTTGCCGGCGCCGTTTGCCAAGTCATCCCCAACCAGCCCCCTTCATACATATATCCAAAAAATACGAAAAAAAACGAACCCCTCCTTGGCGCGTTGTTTTTCTTAAATTTCAAATATTCCAACATATTACATTCTCATACTCGTTGGAGGCACGCAAACATTTTGGCGCACATTTCCGCAGGAAAATGGCAGCCGAAATGCCAAAAGGCCAGCGGACCAGGTGGTGAAGGTGGGGTGGGGGGGAATTTTCGGAGGTGGAGCGACCTTTTGCAGCATGTTCATGCCGTTTGACATGCAACTTGGGGCGCAGTAGGGTCGCAGCTAAGGGAGAGCGACGGCTAGACTCATTACGCAAAGGGGCGATTTTTAGAGCCAACTAACAGTGGGGCTAATCGATAGATGAAAAAATCATAAATATATATAAAAGGATTAAAAATCATTATAAAATATATGCGGCTGTTCTATCCATTGTAAAATTATTAATACTTTTTATTAGGGAACCCCTTCAATCAATTTAAAACAAAGCCAAGATCTTTGTAGCTTTCAAAATATCTTCGTCCACTAATTTCTGCTTTTATTCATTACAAATGTATACCCTCCATTGATGCACCCCAAACTGAAGACCTCACCCACTGTTTGAACACCCAATTTTCCCCTTTCACCGGGGAGTGATCCATTATGTTATTACATTTACTACAATAACCAAATTACAGGTCTGTCGCGGGGCAAGCACTTCCGTTCTATTGATTACATTTGCATTTTGATTAACAAATGATTCGACCCCTGTCCCCGTCGTAATTCGGATGTTATCCCCCAGTGGAGCACTGGCATTCGCATTCATTCACTGGCCAACGGGCAGCCTGGGGCAAGTGTTTAGATTTGCTTTAATCACCTTTATTACTTGTCAAACACGATTCGCCCGCAGGCCACATTTTCCGCATTCGGGGGGAAACGGGGGGTGGATATTTTGTTGGCTTTGCGGTTTTTTGTTTACATGTTTGGGAACAACAAATGTGTGTGTGTGTGTAAAATTCAATATGCTTTTGGCTTTTGCGGTCGGGCCGAAAAATTCGATACGAGCGGACGCCACGTGCCAGAAAGCCGAAAACACGGAAACCGCAAGATCCTGTCCAGATATCTGGGCACGGTCGTAAACCAGTCTGGAAGGGAATCAATTAAAGCTCATTAGCCTGGCCAAAATAGCCAGGAAACTCGGCCGATAAGGCAGCTGTCCGCCCGTCGAACTCACGGCTAATATACGGTTCGATAGCAAAGTCCGGCGTAGAAAGGCGGATGCCACTGGAGACGATTCGATAGAGGCGGTGTCACGGAATCTTTGGCAAGGAATTTCGCCGCGATTTATTTACGATTTATTTTGATTTTGCCATTCGGGCCCCATAAAGATTGGGGCTTCCACTATGCGGACCATAAATCTCCGCCAGCTGTGGCGCTCGAAAGCCAGATTCGCACGTCATTCCGCCCAGACGGGGTGTGAGTTTCGTCCCCAATCGACTGATAAGGTACCAGGTACTCTGAAATAACGCCCTGTCACCTGCAGTATTTGAACGGGAATCTCTAAGTTCCATTTATTTGACTTAGCTCTATTTTAGAGGTCAAAGAAATGGGGCATAACAAATTATATAGCATGAAATGTTATAGGAAGCTTGAAACCCAAATTAACATTATTCAATTCTAGTTGATACTTATTACCCTCCCACAAAAATAACTTATTTCCGTATCGAAATTGATTGTGTGTTATAATTTGCAAAGCAATTCTAAGTAGGATTAATGGCAAACTACAGTCAAACAAAATAATTATTCTAGCATTTACTAGTAATAATGGCTCACTTGAAGGTTTTCACCCCATCGATCTTACTGAGCCTTCCGAATAAAACTTTCACCTGCGCCAACTGTCAAGCGTTTCCTTATAACTTTTGGCCACACGATACCTCTGTGGTATGACTCATTTCCCAGGCATTTTCGCCGGCAGGTGAAAACCTTGCCAAATGGAGGCTCGCCAAAAGCCAAATGGCCAAGTAGCGCGTGGACACGGAGTTTAATCGTAATCAGTCATTGTTATTGATTGGGGGCGATACCCCGCCACCCCACTGCCTCGAAAATGAAAGGAAAAAAAAACCCCAATGATTGACAGCAAATAGCGGCGCTTAGTGTGCGAGCGAGAGAGGGAGCTGTGCGAGGGAGAGGGGCGATTAGGGAGCTGGTCAGCAGTTGGCCGCAAAGTTCAAGTGGGGCCAACGAGGAATTGCCAACTCGTTCCACAACCGCATGGGGCTGTCAACGCGATAATCAACTGCAAATATTTATTTCTTTGCGAGAATTAATAGATTTTTCAGAGGTGGGAAAAGCTTTTGCACTTTCAGAAAAACAATCTCAATATAAGTGTTTTCTATTAAAAAATATTTAGTTAAGACCTCTAAATGTTAGCTTTTTGATCATACTTAAATTCATTATGAAGTCCAAAATGTAAACCTCCTCATGGCCAACCAATCAAAACTCTCTCACAAAACAGAGAAGCCAAACGAGACATAACAAAACAATTTGTTTGCCAAAATGGCAAATTAAATTGTTAAGTTTATTAAACGATACCAGCGACTGGTTGACACGCCGGTGTCAAAAAGGCCAAACGGCAAACGGCGAAGATACCGAAAATACAAACGCTTTTGGCCGGGCCTTGGGTTGGCTATGGGTTTTGGCCAAAACGGCAGCGCGGCTCACTGGAAGCCATTAGGCAGACAATAAGCTGCGACTTTTTAAATGCCTGTCTTTGGCAGGTTCTCGGCGACCGGCGCATGCAATTAAAGCCAAGCCGAGTAGTTGGCCAAGCTGCTGAGATGCTGAAAAGCTGAAAACGACCACCCACGTCGTCGGCCGGCCAATTAGTTTGATGAGCGTTTTCGACTGCCGTTGACGGCAAAACGGTCAGAGCAAAAAATTAATTAGCTTTTTGCGGTATCCGCTTGATTGCCGGCCAGCCCTGCGAAAAAGTTGCCAAAACAAAGATTGATTTGAGTTTGGTATTTGTTTTAGCATCAGCAGGGTCATCGTTAATCTGCTTAGCAAAGATTGGAAAGAGGATGTTACTGGGTTAAAAATAATATATTTTTAATTTAGAAACCTTTTTGCTTCGCATAGCCAACAAGAACGAACGAATTACAGCTGCAAAGATAGGAAAGCAATTTGATATTATATCACCTATTAACCAATACAAATCACGTTTTTGCCCTCAATCGAGAGATAAGGCAATAAATAAATTCCAACCACTATCTTGCCAAAATGAAGGTCCAACAGTAATCTAAAAAAATCCCCACGACTAATTTTCCAAAGAATTTCCCTGTAAAAACATCTCGTTGATCTCAAGAACCCAGCGACCTGAACAACACATAATATCGATTAATTGGCTCTTTTGAGTAGGCAAAAAACACATCCCAGCAATCTTGAGGACAGCCAAGTCTAAGAACTTTGTTTCGCTAATGAACAGCCCTCGGCTATCACTTGACAACTTAACATATTTCGAGTTGTTTGTAAGCGAATCTAATCGGTGGCAATCTCCGTGGCACATTCCTTGTGACGTCACAGCGATAGCAATCCAGCAATCTGTTTTTGGCCCGTGACTCTGGCCAATATGTTCACGAAACTTCAGACGACTTTCTACCCGTAATACTGGGGAGCTGCTGTACAGGTCTCGCCAGTTGGCAACAGCCCCGATAACTGGGCCAAAAAGCGAAAAGTAATTGTTTACGATTTTATTGCGGGTCGACGGCGCCTTGAAGAGGTTCCATTTAAAATGGCAACTGAGTCACGGGTGTGATGAAATCGGTGCAGCGAAATATTTAAGGAGCAACCTTTGGAACCATCAGAACTTAATTCCACTTAAGGTCTCTGTTATTTTCATTTCACATTTGAAAAGTGTAATTATCTTTTGAGTACTGAACGTGACTCTTGACTATTGAAATGGGGAAATTGAAATGTCACATTGCTTTTATTGGAATTAGAAGTTTTAACCCCCAGGGTGTGCAGATTCAATCCTCATCGGCTGACCACATGTTTGATTTGGGTAGATTCCTATTCTTTTTAAACGTACATGAGTCTATTTGAGAAACAAGACCCCACTTTAATGGAGTTTACTAGTTGCGGATTCTGTTCAAGTGCAGATGTACTTTCCTTCATTAACCGTAGGTTGGATTATAAGTACTTAAAAATCTTTGTTCTTTTAATGTAGCCCTTCCCCTTTAACCGTTATTCGAACTATAGCGAGGTAATCCTTTTAAGCAGGCTAATTATTGGCTATTTCACACCCCTCCAATCAATCTACAATCGCTCTTAGTGTCGTATACCTAATTTCGCCGGACTTTAATGAGCTTAAAGTGCCGCCCAGTAGGGCAATCCAATCCAATCCAATCCAATCCAATCCAATCCAATCCAATCCAATCCAATCCAGTCGAATGGAATCGTGTCTGTGGCAAAGTGCGTCAGCAATCAACTGGCGAGCCAAGTGGCTGTCATTGGTCGTCATCGGCAGGCGTCAGGAATCAGGAATCAGAAATCAGGCGTCCACATCGAACATCCCAGCTGACAATGGCCCATTATCGGCGGATTACAAGGATGGCGAGGAGGGCAACAAAAGAGCGAGGAGCGGACTGCTCACGGTGCACAAATCGCCATTGTCTCGTCAAACAAAAGGAATCGCAAGGAGCAGTGGCACTTCCACACCCACATTCACATCCACATCCACGAGGATGTCCATGTCCCTGAATCGATTGTCAGTGGACCGCGCCCCCTTCTTGGGTTCCGCATCCTGTCCGGGAGCCATTGTCAATCAATGTTCAATCAACTGCTGCATTTTTGGCAACTTCCGATGCGAGAAGAGGGATAATGCCACCCAATTGACACACTTCTGGTGCACTTGGGAAAAAAGAGTGAGACTTGGTCAATGTAAATTTATAATGAGTTGAACAAACAGTAAATATACAGATTTAATATAACTTTCTCGAAATTAAATATATGATTGTTTGTTGTTGAAACTGCGCTTTTTATTTTGCAAATATCAACAACATTTTGAAAAGAAATAAGTATGTGTGCATATATTTTACAAGAAAGGAATATTAATAAAGGTGATTTTTAATTGTAGCATTATCTTTTAATTTATATTTGAGCTGAAAATAGTGGATTGGTTTTTGCGAGTGTCCTGGCAGCGGATGTCGCATGCGGGTCCTCGTTCTGTTCTGTTGCTTTATTGTGACCCTAATCGCTTTAAATTGTGATACACTTAGGGGTGGTTCCGCTTTATTGCGTGGGTGTTAACCGTTTCTGCGGCCAGCCGGAACTATTGCCATTCCCGTGATTGTGATGGCGATTGAGATTAAGATTGAGCCCATTAGGCGAGCAGCTCGCCCAGGAAGCAGATCCCGGCGAGGGCGTGTCCTCCGCCCAGAACCATGGCTGCCATCACGATGTCCTCGAGTCGCAGGGGTTCGATGGTTTGGCTTTGCGTGGGGAGGAAGCGCAGGAAGCCGGCTCTTACGCCCAACTCGTGGACATCCTCCACCAACTTATTCTGCAAGCCACTCTCGAACAATCGTTGTATGTGATCGTTGTAGGACTGTTCCAGCACCCAGTTCTGTTTGATTACCTGAACGGCCCAGGTGTAACCCACTGGGCTCGATAGCTTCTTCATCCTGCGCCTTCGCAGGAACTTCTGCTGATAGAGATAGAAGTCTATCCTGTCCTCTGAATCCACATAGGCGTAACTGGGATCCAAGGAATCTCTTCTTTCCTTGTGCAGGGATTCATCCACCAGCAGGAACCTCTCACTCAACTCCTTTGAACCGCCGTAAAATGAATTTGGTCTGACATTATGCGCTTGCAGAAGTATATTCACATTGGCCGACTTCAAGTCAGCCAAGTTTTCGATGGGGCGCTGGTAGAGTTTTGTGGTCAGCATCATGGAGAGCAGAGCCACGTACAAGTTGGACAGAATAAACCCGATGGCGAAGAGCAACAGCAGCAGAATCAGCTTGGAGCCACTTGAGCAATGCGGCAATTTCAGCTCGCGGGTCAGCAGAGTTTGAATGGCCAGCAGGAGATACTGACCCACATCCCACTTCTTGAAATGCCAGCGATGGAGCAAAGAACCCATTATGGATATATAGACCACTACAAAGCCGGTTGCGATCCAAACGTACAAGTCAAAGGGTCTGAAGAAGTAGTAGAACTTCTCGATGGGGCTGCCAAATGGCGCCATTATAGCCACTCGATTCAGGCGAACTGGCTGACTGGTGGCGTATCTGTAGGTCCTTATGAAGATACTGCCACAGGCATCGGTTAAGTTATCCTTCACCATCTGCAGACATTCAGCGGTGTTATAGCGACGAAGTCCAGGGAAAGGAACCGCTTCGAAAGTGGCATTCAGCTGATCGGCAAATATTTTGAAAATGGTTATAATACTTCCCTTATAGCGATTTGATGAATTCGGGGATTCCCTTTCATCTACAAAACAATGCGGTGGGTCATTGGTCACTAAAACACGGAGGGGATAACCCATTAAGTTGTGTTTCTTTCTGTTCCTTATATAGCTCAGTAAATCAGTGGGTTCTATTTCCAAAAAGGGATATGATTTTATTGACCAAAGTTGCTTTTGCAGATTATAAATTAGCACATGAGGAAAACCTTCATCCCAGTATGCCTTAAAAATTTTCTTATAGCTTTCTACACTTTGTGAACCATTATCTATGAGCAGTATTTCGTTGAATTGCCTATCGGTGAGAAAATATTTTATCACTTTCAAAGCTGCCTGATTGATATTGAAGTCCTCGACAATTTGCACTATAAAAAGCACTGGTTCGTCGTGTGTAGTTTTCAACTCTTCACTTGTGTTTATATAAATCAACAACTTTGGTGTATTGTCAGAGAAGTTTAGTCCTTTAAATGCGTCTTTGGTAAAGCCGAAATAAATATGTGTTTTAATGTTCATTTTCAAAGTCAATTCTTTAATGATTATATCTGGTGTTGTCCAAACTAATCTTAGAAATATGATAACAAGAATGATTTTGACCAGTGACATCTTGAAAAACTTGTAAGCTACTACGATTTCTTTTATAAAGAAGTCACCAAGAAAGCTCGGTAGGTTAATTCAATTAGCCATCTAATTAGTTTGCTAAACTCATTATGGGCAATTATTACTGAGTTTTGGAAAGGCGTCCAAAATATGTAATTAAATGTGATTTAATTAATTAAACTTTCTTTCGAGGCATTGACACTTAGGATAAAAGATTAGTGCCATTTCTTTAACTTTTATTAAATAAATGCTAATAATTTTACGATTTCTATAAAACTTGAAATTCAAGAGTCAAGCAGTTAACAGAGTTCGATGTTGGACGTAACGGCCCGTTAACAGCGGCCACTGCTTTAACAGCTCGAACCGCAACCAACAGGTTCGAGCGACAACAGCTGTCGGTTAACAGAGCGTGTTGCACGCTGCTCTCTGTGCGAATATCGCATGCAATAAATGGAACAGTGCAGCAGCAATGGCCGCGCTCGCACACACACAGCCGAAGACTTTCTCAGGCGGACAACAACAACAAATGCGCAAGTTTTCAAACTGCTGTTGTTTTTGCTGTTGCCGTTGCTGCTGCGCCAACTAATGTTGCTGGTTGCGCCCGATGTTGCTGCTGTTGCCGTTGCTGCTGGCGTCGCTGCTGCGACTGCTGCTGCTGCTGCCGCTTGTGTGGAAAGGAAGAAAAACACAAAGCCAAAAAATGTCGCACGTTTCGCTTGGGTTTAGTCTCGATAATTCAATCGCCCTGCCAAGACGTCCAACGTCTCGCTGCCGCACCGCCCGACTTTTTAGCCAACTTCCAATTTCCCGAGCATTACGCGACTTACACATCCCCCACAACAACTACAAAAAAAAGAAAAAGAAAAAAACACACGTGCCCCCTATAAAAATTTGAATAAGAAATATATATTATTTGATTGCTATTGCAAGCGCAGCGGAAGTACATCGCGTGTGTGTGAATCCGCGAGTGTGCACGTGTGTGTGTGTGTATGTGTGTATGTTGGCCAGAAATGAGTTTCGATTTCGATTTCGATTTCGTTTCGCTTTGAACGCAAAAGTATCGCAGAATATTGCCAATATACAACATATAGCCGGGGGGCTATCGGTCAAGTGGGGCGATTACACGGGGATTACAGCGCCGAAAGTGCCCAATGTCAGCCACATCAATTAGCCAGCACGTTATCACCCTTGACCAGCGACCACGACACCTCTGAATTTTAGTTTACTGCTCTGTGCCGGCAGTAAATGGGTTAAAATTATGTACATTAATCGCCGAATGAATGTCGAATCAGTTAGAGAGACTGCTGTTTTTTATTGTGAGTATTGCCAATGATCGATGGCCCGGCCGCGTGAAGGTGAAGTGGCATTATTAGATTATGGTTGTAATGGGTTCCCGAAAGTTATGACAGCGGGCACTTGTAACACTTCAAAAAGGAAGGATGTATCACGTTTCCCAAATCGATTTTTCTAGAACTCCAGGAGTATTGAACATAAGTGGTAGCAATGGGTTTATTTCTTAAACATGGTTAGCTTATAGTAATTAGCAAGTAATGATCTGCTAATTCCAAATCAAAATTATTACATTTTACTATAAAACCTAGAGGAATCATATGGTTTTTTATGGTTTTTTTTTTTCGTTATTAAAATCTTTAAAGTGACTGGCGCCACTGCGATATCTCTTTACTTTGCAGCGCCACCGTGTTAAGTACTCGAATGGCACTACCCTCGAAATCTATTAAACAATACCTATCAAGGCCTCTCGAGAAAAACCGCAGCCTCAATCAAGTTACAAAGAACCCCCGGGCCAAACACTTCCTCAATACTCAACTGAGAGCCGCCAAACCCCCACTGAAAAACCCTCTAGTTGGTAGCTTCGAAATCTTATCAAGGCGCACGCTTTGTAATGCTATCGAGAACTTCCTCGCCTCGAATTTATGCCCGGTGTAACCTCGTTTCGATCCCCCGTAGCCAATGTGCACGCTTGCTTTTCCCAAGCACGGATGCACTGTAAAAAATTATGTAAAAACTAATCAACAACCGAAAAAAAAGTTCATAAGAACCAAACCATTTCAAATTTCAAACATATCAAAGTATTATTTTAAACACACTTACAAAATGGGAACCTTGAACTGCAAGACTTTCTCTCAGTGTACCTGAAGACACTCTAGGTGGGTGGCGGAGCAAAGTGAAGTGGTGGTAAAAGCAAGGGTTGCCGGGTTTTTGGGGCTAGGGGCAACAAAACGCATTATTTTGTAATTATCGACAGAGTTCTAATAAATAAAGCGTAGCAAGGCCCCACACAAAAGTTTTGGGTTTCTTTCTGGGTTGATGAAATTATGAATGGAGATAAGGTGTGGCATGTGTGAGAGAAGGTGGGAGGGGAGGCGGGGGAATATCCAAGAAACGATTGTAGCGCCTATTCACGCTGTTTTCAACAACACTCAACTTAAAACTACTAGCTTCAAAAACACCCAACTATAAAATAACTCGAGATAGAGAAACTTTAGAAAACACATCGTAACCATCTATAAAGATAAAATGCCATTCTGACTTTTACAATTTCCTGAGGAGATAGTGGGGATCATAAATCTGCGAATAAATCTAAAAAAAATTCGCAATGCGCAATAATTATCGAAATTACATGGCCAAAGGCCACCTTTACATTACCGTAAGCCCAGAAGCACCTGACTTCCAGATATCGCAGTTAAATCTGGGTCCGATTTGATTTACAACCTGACCTGACACAATAACATACAACACCCAAATGGGGAAAAGAGGGGGAAAAGAGGAAAAGGGGGAAAACACAAGCGCCGCCCGCTTGGCGAAACAATAAATTCATTAAATCAAAGGCGCGATTATTAATGAATGTAATAAAATACCAAAGAGACAACTAATCAAACATGATAAATTACCCAACAAAGGCGCTTTCGGGGGGAAGGTAAAGGCTACCGACATACGCCCCTTCAGGGGCGCCGCAAAGGGGGCGGGGGGAGGTAAAGGGGGCGGGACACTCAAAGATGGCAATAGAGGAACAGGCAAACAAACAACGTGAAATACTTTTGTGCCTTGTTTGCACTGTGCCCTGGGTATCAAAGTATTTGTCGTGACAACGTGTAAACATTGGTATGCAATTTAGGTTTGATATTTTGTACTCATTGCCGTTGGTCCCTTTCTGCCGTTGGTATCTGATAGATACAATTATTGATGGCCCGGTTGGCAGATACCACGCCGATAAGGTGGCCACAAATAGTGGAGAAAACAAAGAGAAAACGCTTAAACTGCACTGCGAAAAAGATAGATTATTAACGAAATGCAAGCCCATCCTTTATATGTTTAATAAAGAATTTAAAGTTTTTTTAGATTTGATAGAAACTAAAGCTTTCTGTCCATTTATTTCAGGTGGTGATTTCAGGTGCATTATGTACAGTAGAAGATTACGTAATAATGTCACAGTGTGCACACAACAAAGCCATATACCTAGCTGCGGAAGGAACAGTCTCAGTGACGGACACTTCACAGATACGTAAGTATTCCAATAAATTTACTACTTAACCCCCTCGTGCCCCCAACACCTCAAGTGCCCCACTGCACAGTCCACACTCCACGTCTCCTGTTCGGATGTGTTTTTTGTTTATCGACACGTCTGCAGGAAATGCCTTCACATTGCCATCTAATTTACAATTTCTACTCTTTCTTTTTCTGCTGTGCCCTCCAAACCTTTCACAAAAATACTATATATCCATCCCGAAAACGAAAATATTTCGACAATTTACAGTAGTTTGTAGCTGCTGTTTGTTTGCTTTCGATTTCCATGACAATGGGTTCGGGTGAAGGGGGCGGGGGAGCATTCCACTTGACTTGTCCAAAAGTCGGTAACAACAATAACAGAAAGTGCCACAATTGTTGAATATTTTTCTACTCGAGTTGTTAATAATGTTGCAGACTGTCAGTCAAACGCGTGACGAAAGCTACTTGAGATGCCGCAACAGAGAATGGAATGCAAATGAAGCTGCTTTTAGGGCTTCTATTAAGTACCTCGACATTTCTTCTTTTATGTAACGTATTTCAGAGATTAGGGCTTGTGAGAAGTTTTTGAATATTTAATACTTTGGTAGAAAAGATCTTATGTACTGGAACTCAAAAGAAACAGCTTTCAATGTAATGTATTTCCTACTTCTTTAACTATTTCCCAAGTTATTTCCAACTTAAAGGTTGACCTACAACTTTGAACCAGAGAAATACGTTTCCGTATGCAACACTTATTTGGGCCGCCCGTAAAACGCGTAATTTATTGCAAAAACTGGCAGCAAAACAAAGCATGGCTGAAGAGCAAGAAGAAAATCGTAAAAATTTGCTACGCTTTGGGTCAACTTTCACTGGACGCAACGCAACCTTTTTTCGGCTCTTGCCATGGCCAATTAGAGCCGCTGCAGCTGTTGCCTCGAAACCCCGAAAAAAAGAAACACAAGGACCAGCACGAGCTACGCATCCTCGCACAACAGGATAATAGGAAAGGAAAGGACAATGGAGGTGTTCAAAAGAAGCGGGCAAACTGCTGGAAAATGCAGCAACAACAGGTGCAAAACTATTTTTGTTTGCTGCGAGTGCGCGTGAAAATTTCCAGCTGGTTCGGGACAGGGTCTCGACCACTTAAGGCCTAATGTGCGAAAAGTTCCTTTGTCAATTTGCACGCCCTCTTGGCAGCCGACGACCCTGAAAACTTCATTCATTTGCATGGCTAAGCTCAGGTAGTCGGGGATAATCCCTGATCCTAACCAAAACTAAGCTGCTGCTCGGCCCTCGGGTTTGTCCCACTTGTTTGGCCGGGAATTTCCCCAGCAGATTTACGGCGGTCAGCCGAACCCCCGGTTAGCCGGAAAAACAGCGGTGAAATAAAACAGGGGATGGCTGCTAATGAATCCTGACATCTCAATCAATTTGGGGGAAGCGAATCGAAAGGGAGGTGGCACTTTCACCACCCCAAAAAAAATAAAGAGAAAAGGAAAACAAAAACACACACACGGGAAACCACAACATTTTCCCATTTTCCAAAACAGAAGCGGGCCACACGTCAATAAATCACACGATTTTATTTCAGACCAACAGAAGGCGAAAATTGTTGAGGTGGCTTGTGGATTGTGGATTGGGCTGCGTGGCTGGAAGGCCCCTCGTAGTTTTCCTAGGACCGCAACTGCAACCGGGGACCATAAAACATTTTATAGCTCATCATGTGCGGCCATAAATTTAAGAACGCAATCAGTTCTGGCTCCCCTCTTGTCGGACATCTATCGGATCGGGCTATATAGTATGTTTAGGGCGTTGCCCAATCAACACCTAACCCTTACCCTTACCACGGGATGCGTGTAAATTTTTCCAATTCTAGTCCGATTGCAAAGTGGCATACCTCTAAGCGTTTGTAATCGTATCCTTGATACAACCATGGTACAATTATACAAGGTAGTCTCGTCCATGGTACAATTATACAAGGTAGTCTCGTCGGCAAAAAGCACTCCCTTATTCATTACTCACCACAAGTGCGAGTGAGAGGAGTCTGCGTAGTAAGTGCGAGTGAAACGACAAAAGAGCTTTTTGCTTAGCCCTTAGATGGTGCATGCATGGTACAATTATATAAGGTAGTCCCGTCGGCTGCAAAATCGTTCGGGTTTTTTCCCCCTATCGACCCGAACCCATAGGAAAACACTCTCTCTCTCGCTCTAATTGTAGTGTCGATAGGGGGAAAGAAAAGCCGACGGGACTACCTTATATAATTGTACCATGGGTGCATGGGTCTTAAATTGCTCATTTATAGTAATAGGAGTTGAAGTTTTTAATAAATTAATTTTTAATAGTTTTGACTTTAAAATTAAACGTTGCTTTATTTTTGGATAGTTATTTCTTTGTTTAGGTTCTTAATTTTAAAATAAATGTCAATATTAAAGTAAATTTTTGCAATATCTAAATTAATGTTTCTTAGTAGCTATTAATAGTTTCTCCTTTATATTTTTTGTTATACTAAAATTATCTGAAACGACATGTTAAAAAACAAAAAAAGTTTGCAGCCAAGGGCAGAACGACATCTTTGCCCAAGGGTTAATACTCTGAAAAAATTCGTCCGCACGCGTGCTCATCCTTCAACAAGCACGAACGCACTGACTAAAAAGCCGAATGAATAGGCAGCCGACGAGACTACCTTGTATAATTGTACCATGCTTGTATAATTGTACCATGGATACAACTACATTTAAAGTTTTTCAATTTTAGATAGTCGAAATTTTGACCCCTGTTCATGTCAGACTTTTCCAAGTTTTCAATAGCTTTCATCCGATTTCAAAGTGGCATAACTCTAAATGTTTGTGATAGGATTCTTTAAAAATGTGCGATTATATATTTAAATTTGGCGGTGGTCAAAATTTTGACACCCTTGCATGTCAGATTTTTCTGAGTTTTCAATGCTTTGCTTAGCATTGTTCAGCATCGTTGGGGTATCATCGATCAATAAGATTTTTATCTCTTGAGGTGTTGTATAAATTCCCAAACTAAAAATAAGATTTTCTATGTAAATAGCTTCTAATCACTTTGGTTCTGGCTATCCAAAAATGTTGGCCATTCATTTTCCTTAGTGTTTGGTTTGGCATTACCCAAACCTGTCTTAAACAAATTTGTTAATCCTTTTCTTGGCACCAAACTTTACCCCGGCACCAGCAGGCTTACCTTCTGTGACACGATCGCACACAACCCGTTCCCAAAGAAAATCCCTCAATGACTTTGCCGCCTGGCCCTGAGCCCAAAAACCCAGACCCGCGACGAGACCCAGACGAAGAGGTGCTAATAATGTGGGAAATATTTAGCACCATCATTACAAACATCATTAAAATATAAATAGATGTATTTAACATGAACACCCAAAAGGGAAAACCAGGGGAAAAAAGGGCGACCGAAACAGAAACAGAAAGATGGAACAGAAAGTTCGACTTGGTCGAAAAGGAAATCATGGCTCGAAAGAAATTCCAAGAAATAGCACATGGTGTCTTTTTGGGGGGTAAGGGTATAGTCATTGAACCTATAGTCCGTCTGCGTTCGATCGCGCAGATTCATCAATTAACGCCCCGGGAGAGCGAGACGGGCGATCAGGGACAGAAAGAGACGGAGCGACCCTTCATTTCGGTCCAAGACGTCAGCAAATAAATGCATTTCCGTTGGCCGGCACAAACAAATTTCCAAGAGACGCCGACGACGAAGCTAAAGAAAATGTTGAAAAATTCCCAAACAGATTCGACTGCGATATTCTTTTACCTACCGCGCGCCCAAAAAAAACGAAGAAGACGATGGAATAAAGGGGCTCAAACGGTTAAGAAAACATGGTCAACAACAAAGCCGGACAAGTGTACCGCTTGCCGATCGTCAGTTCGACAGTTTTTGGTCAATTGCTTCACTCGATCGTCCGTCCGCTCGGCTTGGCTGGAATTGGTTGGGAGTTTTGGAAAATGAGAGATACACATACGTATTGCCGGGGCCTGCATTGATTTCCACTTAACGCTTCAAAACTCAAGTGGACAAGTTCACTGTTCAAGCAAATGCGCTTTCGTTCCTGGCTCTCTCTGTTCCAATATTATTGTTTCCCACAGTTGGTCAGAAGATATTTAAGCGCCAATTTGATGTAGTTTTTCTTGTCCCGGTAGTTTTTCCCCTTCATTTCTTCCCTTTCTTTCTGGCCCGGTCAAGTGTCCCCCTTGAATTTGAATAACAATGCCGTTCGGCTCGTCTTCAAAGCTGGCTTTCTTTCCCGAATTCTCCCCAGACCTTTCCCGGCTTCGATTTTGGTAATGAGCGATTGGTTCGTTTGATCTTCGGTTGGCAGCAAGGAGCCGGGTTGTCAGCAATTACGCACTTGACGGCTAAAACCGGGCTGACAATGGAGCTCCAAGGAGCCGTTCAATAGGGTTCAATGGGGGGCTAGTCAGCCAATCCCTTGGAAATCGAAAGAAAAGTTCTCGGAATCTGTAATTGTCTAGCGTGGGAATAGAGCTGTGACCAAAGCGACATCGTTTTATGGGAGAGAAGACGATAATTTTGTTGGAAATGAGAGGATTCAGTTAGGAAAATTATATAATTTTAACTCGTATTAAAAGTCAAACTATTTGTTCTATTAATTATATAAAAATATTGAGTTCGATTTACTTCTAACTTTTTGCAATTTAATAGAGCACCCATTCGACAAGAACAAATTCCTCACAACAAGAGTTGTAAATGGGAATCACTTAATCACCCAAACCAAAGAAAAAGGGTTGGCTTTGTTTAATCCTTCGCCCATCCTGAACCCCGATAAAAACAAAACCCACCGAGTTTTTAGATAAACATGCAACCGAATCATGTTCTAATCAATAAAACCCACCACATGCCCCATCGCCGCCCGATTATCTGTGAGATAATCGAGTCCAGACCCATCTCAGACCCATAACTGTAGCACACTCCACGCCGCACACCGTTAAATTGTGCATTTTACGAGCCCAAAAACAAAAGCAA